GTGCAGAAATGCAAAAATTAAGGCACAATGTAAATGCACAATTTAAAGTAACCGAGACTAAAAACAAAGATCGTCGCAGCCACGCTTAGCATTAGAGTGGATGTCTGAGTCCATCTCCCACAAATCCAGATGCACAACAAAGTACACAGCAGACAACTGATTCACAGCCCTGCCAGAGCTCTTCAGGTCCCCTTTCCAGCCAAAAAAGACTGGTGGAATAAAGTGCTTTTTTCCCCAAGGGATGACAGCAGTAAATATATCACCAGCACTCATCACACTCTCACTTGATTAATTTCCAGGGCATTAGTTAGCAGGGAGTGCTATGCAGGGAGTGTCCTGGATTATTGAGGGGAAGGAAGCACCTTAATCACACAACAGCCAAAGAATAAGACTGACCATCTTTTTTAGACTGCGAGTGTAATCTAAGGATGCCAATATTTGGGAAAAAAGCCATTACCATGATGGGATGTTCAGGACTCTAACAGGAGCCATCCTGAAAAACTTTAGACAACTTACCTAGCCCCTAACCACCCAGCAACATTATGGCACCTCCTTCTCTTAGTTAACCATGTATGAATACAAAATCCATTCTCATTCCTGCATCATTTTACACAAGCCACTGAATTCATAACTCAGGTCTGAAAATCTGATGAATGGGTAGATATTTTACATTTTAGACTTGCATTTCTACCTGCAAAGATTCTTCTCTGGAGCTTCCCACACAGCCTTCATGTTGGATCGTCTCAAGAAAGCATTCAGTTTCTGTGGCCCAGTTTTCCATCCCTTTGAGAAGCTCTTCAATTATCTCCACTCTGGGCAGAAGCTCAGTGGTTTGTTCAATTACATCCGCATTCTTTTCTCGAAGCTATGAACATGGAAGATTTAGACTCTTAGCAAAGTTAGCATTGCAACATGCTAAAAATTTACTTCTCCCTCACACCCCATTTCCATGATTTTATCAGCCTATTTGCTCCTTTTTGGCTTTTACTCTGCAACCTAAGAACCTCTTGAAGCCAGCTGACAAGGGGACACAGACAGATTACAGGAATCTCCTGTTCACCAAAATAATGATATGTGAGGTCTCAAATGAAAGGCAATGTCATTACATACATCAATGTCACTGTGAAATATAGGTACAAATACTATGTAAGGAGTTGCGTATATTAGGAAAGTAACAGTGTAGTCAATTAACCAATTAACAGATAAACAAAAGCGTATAGGTTAATGCTATAGAGTACATGCATTACCCTCCCCCACCAGTAAATTTTTTAGCAGGCTGGCCAGCACCCCAGCTCAGTCCTGGCTTGTGATGGGTGGCCAGGGCTTACCCCTGCTGTGGCTCTGCATTTAAAGCATATTAGGAGCTAGACAGGCAGGCAGCCCGGCTCTCACTGTGTTGGGAGCTCAGACCTGCCCCACCTCCGACAGGGGCTGCTACCAACCCCGTGCTGCTGCCTCTGACACAGAGGCAGCAACAGCACATGGTGATAGGTAACTGGTCCGCGAGAAGAGCAAACCAGCTCCCACCTGGCACCCGATGCTGCTGCCTCTGATACAGAGGCAGCAGGACAAAGTAGCAGGGGGCTCCTCTAGAGTAGGGCCAGAACACACTGGCAGCCAGCCCCGCCCCCGGGTACTATAACTACGAATTCATGAGGTTACTCGACTATTCAATTAACCAATATTTAACATCCCTAGTGTATACTCTAAAAATATATTCTTAAAGTTTGTATCATGGTACTAATCACCTGCGAAGGTGAAAAACAGGTTCTGTCAGACAGGATATCCATTTCCTTGTAAACAGAGTATTGTGTTGCTAACAGTGGGGTCCCCTATCACCAGCCTGAACTGAATGCAAATGAAGGACTGTAAGGCGTTGTCTACACTTGCAATTGAGCAACAAAAATGTTGACAAAGTGAAAGTCAGTCCAGGGAGCTAGACTTATTTTGTCAGCAGAAGTGGTGACAAACACACTCTCATGGCTAGGTAAAAGCAGTGTATTATAGACATATCTCAAAGAAAAAAGCTTCAGAAAGAATCTAGCAGGAGGAAAAATGCAGTAGGGGAAGAGAATCTTATCTTGAGGTGTGGGGAAGCACATGTGCTTCTGGAAAGATGGGTCACAAATCGGGCTTGGTTGAAAAGTCTAGTCAGAACTTTGGTTCAGGTAAGCCTCTTTAGAAAAGAGAGTAACTTCTCAGCTAAGTCTCTAGAAGGTATGTCATGATTGTGTTTTCTAGATAAACATTTGTTTCCAATATTCTTCCTCACTATTGCTTGACTCTCTGTTCTACGATAATAAACTTATTCTAGTAAAAACAAGAATTCTACCTAACTGCTGTGGTGATAAGCTGGGAATGAAACGGAGATATAGAGCCCCCAAAAAACAGGCTCTACATAACAGATAAACTATCCAGATTTAAGTACTGATACAATAGTTAGAATATAAGAGAACTCTTTACCTCTGCCTTCTGAATGTTTCTCTTAGTAGCCTCTGTTGAAATATCACCTGTAATATTGAGTGTATCTGCCACTGCCTCTGCAGGAGACTGAGAATTTCCATTATTGTCCAGATCTGACTTCTTTTGCTCTTCTTGCATTCTCAGTAATCTCATCTCCTGTGACAATGTTGCATAGCATTTTTACACAACCATTTATTTTTGATCATTTATTGGCAAAACAGCATTGTTGCTAAATGTACTTTTTTAAAGGGCTCATCTAGAAACCTGAAACAAGAGGCCCTTGTATATGCTCACCCATCTACACCATTGTATTCAGTGCTAACAGAATTCTAAAGGCCTTTTACATAAAGGCTGCATCTAAACTACGGGCAGCTTCCGAAATAAGATATGCAAATTAGGTGCTAATTTGCATATCTTCTTCCCATCCTTTTTTCTGACTTTCCCCCCCCCCCCCCCGAAAAACCCCATACAAAACCCCCTTTTTTCAAAAGAACCCTGTAAACCTCATGGGTGGGGTTCATGTGAAAAACCCCACCCAGACTTTTTTTTCCTGAAAAAAAAAAACTCTTCTGAGAAAGGGATCCAAAGAAGATATGTAAATTCGCGCCTAACTTGCATATCTTCTTTTGGAAGCCGTGCGTAGTCTAGACATGCCCCTGAGGCAGTGAGAGCTATAACTGGGGCTATGTCTAGACTGCTATGTCTAGGCTTCTTTCAGAACAAGCTTTTTTGGAAGAGAATTTCCGAAAAAGCGTCTTCCAAAAGAGAACACCTACACAGCAAAAGCGCATCGAAAAAGTGATCTGCTTTTTCAAAAGATAGCATACACACTGAATGGATGCTCTCTCGCATTTCAGCTGTGATTACTATGGATGGAGTGACCACTAGGGCACCTGTGTTTTTTCCTCTTTCCTCTTCTTTTGAAAGAACTTCCTCTTCCCCATCCACACATGCCTTTTTCCTAAAGAGCTCTTTTGAAAAAAGGTTTCTTCCTTGTAGAAAGAGGTTTACCAATATTGGAAAAGCCCCTCTGTTCTTCCAATTTTTTTTTCTGAAAGAATGCAACAGCAGTGTGGATGTAAGTAAATTTTTTTTGGAAAAACAGCTGTTTTTCCGGAAAAACAGCTGTTTTTCCGGAAAAACTCTGCAATGTAGACATACTCTGAGAGCCTCTGTGTGTTGTGTGCCCCACCTGCTCTAAAATGGCTCACACTGAATTGTATGAAAGTTTATTGATCTGTACATTACAAGGGATAATTACACTTTTAAAAACACAGTTGTCCTTTGGAAATCTATAGCAACAAAGTGATCACATGAAAGGAAAATAGAGCTGCAGTTACTTACAAACTTTGTTCTCTTTATAAATTTAGCCCATCTTGCGTTCAGTTTTTTCAGTTCTTTAGAAATATCTGATCTCACTTGCTCATTGCTGACTTCAATTAAAAAGTTTCCAGCTTCATTTAAGGAACCATGCACCGAGTTCCACTTCGCCAGAATCTCAGTGGGGACCTATAGAAATGCGTTGAAAGAATTCAAGACAGCACTATGCGGTTTTATGTATTTCCCAAAATAATAGTATTTTGCACTTCCATCCATAGACTTCAAAGTGCTTTAAAAAGTTGAACAAGTATCTTTATGCTTAATCACAAGGAGACATTGAATCAAATACCTTTTTAGGATGTTCTTTTCTTGTTTCATCCAACCAGGCCTTCAGTAAATGAATGTTCTCTATATAAGTGTCCCAAGACGACAGAATTTTTTGTAGGACCAGGTTTACATTGTAAATATATTCTCTGCACATAGAAATCTTAGCATCTACCATCTTAAACAGTTTATTAATATCTTGAGGATCACCAGCTAGAATATTAAACACATCATAAAATGAAAGTTAGAAATAGACATTGATTCCCATACATTTCTAAATAATATTAAGCATATTTGTCAGCTTCATGGAAACTGCCAAAATAAAGACATGAACCCTTCTTTCTTTTGGTGGTTATGGGGAATCTCATTCACAGTTTGGAAAAACATAAACCAACTCTACAAAACCAACATTCTGCAGAAAATAAAAGTATCAGGAATTAAAAACATTAATAATGTGTCAGTTAAAAGCACAACTCTTATTAAAGTACTGTGTGATTTGCATGCACTTACCTAAAATATTCATGCTTATGTTTTTGTTTCTCATGTCTTCACATATTTGAAAAGCAGTTTCTAGTTGAGTTGTGAATCCCCTTTCTTCAATAAAACCCTGCCCAAAATTAAAGAGAAATGGGATGGGTAATACGGACTGATACAAAAGTATGTAGAAAATTCATAATAAACCATCTTGTTAGTCTTTAAAGTGCTACATAGTCCTGTATTTTGCTTCAGCTACACCAGACTAACACGGCTACATTTCTATCACTAGAAAATTCAGTTTGTGATAAATTACTTTTTAGAACACTAGGAGATTTACCCAGCTTTGCTCAGTTCTCCAACTCAATTAAGGGTTTTTTTTTTTAAATTAAAAGGAAAATGTACATACTCTGGAGAGGGAGGGAGGACTTTGACCCTCCTCCCTCTCCCAACACCACAGTTCATAAAGGATGCCTGAGGAGGCTCAGAACTGGGCCAATCCCAGATGGCGGGGAGGGGGAGAGGAGTTACTCCAGCCAGCTGTTTTCACCAGCCTGGCTGCCTGCTGCTTAGTGCAGCAGCCTGTAGCAAAGCCCCTAGAGACAGGATGGGAGCACACACTGCCTCCTCTTGCAGCTGACTAGACCAACCAGCCAGCTCCTCTTTCTTTTAGAGGAATGGAGCACCAGCTTACTTTCACCTCTGGTTGAGTCTTTCAACATTTGCTGAGTTATGTCAGTTTTTAGGACTATCCTTGATTTGGTGATTCTGTCTCCTTTCTGTTTGATTTAATGAGAAGCAATCCCATTCCAGACACATCCCATTTTCCTGGCACAACCAAACCCTTATCTTGCTTTAAGTTATGATAAGAGGAAGCTATATACCTAATTCGGTAGTCCTAGCTCTTACCATTTAGGAGGAGTTCTTGAACAGACAAACTCTCTCAAATAGGTAGTAGATGAAACAAGAAGAGACAGGCCAAACAAATGGAACAAAATCTACTTACTTCCTCTGCATCCCATCCTTCACTCTTTGCATGAATTATCCCTGTTATAGAGCCCGCTCTCGCAAAGTGTTGCTTCTGTGAGCATTCCTGATTCATGCATTGAGGGTTTGTCTACACAAACACTTAGGGCAGGCCTACACTAGAAGTGCTGCTGTAGTACAGACAATCATTCTACTGACCAAAGGGGTTCTTCCATCACTGCCATAAACCTGAGAGGCAGTAGCTTGGTCAATGGCAGAACTGATTGTAATTGGAGCATTGCCTGCCTAAGGACTATAATGTTGAGCCCCATATGCTCCGTAATAACCAGTCACAAAATGGGAGATAAGCACAAAATCTAATTAGTAAGGGCAATTAAACCCCAGTGAGGTCCATAAGGATATGTGCAGACTGGGGAGGAAGAGAAAGAAGGGCTGCTCAGTATTACTCTCAGGGAGTAGCAGGTGGTGGCTGACGGCTTCTACATTTAGAGCCCTGATGCTTCAGAACTGTGACAGGAGGCACAGCAGACCTCCTGCTGTCTTGAGTGAGATGTTTGTGAATTTGAGGCAGGGAGTGAGCTGATACTGTTGGCCCTTTAAACACTACAGGAGGAAAGGAGGCTAGTCAACTGCCCCTGAAGACAATGACACAAGAGAGGAAAGCACAGATAATCACATAAGCAAAAGAGAGAAATGTGGGAGAAGGGGGGGATACTCAGGGCCTATCATGGAAAAAGTATCGCTGCTCGTGGTTTTTGCTCAAAATCCTGCCAAAACTCTTTATTTTCATAATATTTGGACTCACAACCAAATGAAAAGCAGTGGTTTGGACTGAGTTTTCCTTTAAAGCTCTGTATACTCTAAAGCTTGTACCTTTCCACCCACTGAAGTTGGTCCAATAAAAGAGACTTCTTGTCTCACTTTTATTCTAGTCCAGGGGTAGGTAAGAGGCTGCCAGCAGACTCGCCAAGCCACCAGATCTGGCCCGTGGCTGCGTTACAGGAATCCTTAGGCAGGAAGCACTTCATGCTTTCAACAGCCCTCTGCTTTCCATCTGGGCTGCTGGGGTAGGAGGAGCGAGAGTTCACACACTACCCTCCCATCCCCCGGCCAGAAAAATCTCTCCGCTGCCATTGGCCAGTTTCTGGCCAATAGGAGCTTAGAAATTTTGCTGGGGGCAGAGGCAGCATGTGAAGTCTCCCTTACTCCCTCCGTCCGCCCCCACACCCAGAGCAGAGCCATGTGGATCAGCTAGCCGACAGACTTCATCAGAGAGCCTGCCTCAGGTTCCTACAGATCTGCTGGCTGGGAGCTGCCTAGGCAGGTGCCTTTGGCACCCCACCTCCTCTCCGCCCCCGACCTCCCCAACAACTTGCCCCAGGCCACCACCCAAATTCTCTGTATCCCCTTCTTCCAGGTCATAATTCCCTCCCAGACCCTGCACCCCTTCCTATAACTCCTTCCCCAGGACAGAATCCTCTCCTGCACCCTACCCCAGATCACAACCCCCTCCTTCACTCAAACTCCCTCTCAGACCCCACACCTCCTCCTGCACTCCAATCCTCTACCCCAAGCTCCCTTCTACCCAACCTCCTCCCCAGACTCCACAGAAGTGTGGTCCTTAACCCCTTGCCAAAACCTTGGAGTGGCCTCCCATTAAAAAATTATCGCCTACCCCTGTTCTAGTGTGAAGCATGTGTTAGCTAGATGAGGCATACACCTGTGTACAGGAAAATGGGAAGATGAACACAGTGACAGCAAGGCCTTTTATAAATATACTGGTTCAACCTGAAACCCACTCTCAAATTGCCTCCAGATTATGGATGTAAAAAATGAATAAAAATATTAACTGTGTAACCAATAAAAATTCCATTGGTTAAGTGCTCAAGGACTGTCAGGACTCCCAGCCCCACACGGTAGTCAAGACTGCCAGCAGATCTGTGAAGAGTTTAACCAGTGGGGATAACCAATACGCATCAGCTTATTGGTTAACTGGTTAAACTCTTACATCCCTACTCCAGCTATGAAAGCCCATGCTGGATGAGATTAGAACTAAGGCTGTATCAAAGGCAACTGCCACCAGTTTAAATTGGACAAGTTGCCAAACATATAAACTATTTTTAACCTTACATGCCAGTCTCTCAACAATAGCTCCACCGATTCTTTAGTTCCATATCTGATGTCCCGGATATTTAACTTTAATGTCACTTCATCCAAGATAGCCGCGCACAGACAGTAGTGGTATTCTAGAAGTATGCTGAAGTTTGTAGACTGGATATTGCTGAATCTGGAAAACAGTAGAGTTTTAGAATTACACTGGATATAATGAGGCATTCATTTACAAAGAGAGACCTCTAACCTAAAATGTACCTGAATTCCAGATATCATATGTAAATGTAGTCCTTACTGTTGATGAGGGGGAAAAATCTAAAATATTTCAGGTTAATTATTTAAATGAGTAATGATTTGAGTGCCTTGATTTTTGTACGTCCAATTCAAGAAACCTTAAAAAGGGTCTGATTTCAGAATGGGCTATGCATCCACTGTCTGAACATCAGGTCCTTGAAAGGTGTCTCTAGTTCAGCACACATCATGATTTGTCACTTCAGGCTTGTAACTGCATAATGATACCTGATCAGCATAATTAAGAAGGACCAAGAACAAATTAAATGGAGGACAAAAGAACACGTGAATACTTTAAGTGTTTCAGAATTCACACAAATTAAACATAATGGTTAATTTTAATGAGTAGATTAAAACTAATATTCCCCTACCAACTCATCTTGCCTTTTACTTGGAATAATCTTATAACCCTTCTACACCAAACCACTTCTCTTCTCCAAAACCCACATCAAACTAAGGATGTGAAAGTAACTTTTTACACAGTTAACCAATAAGTCCGGGCTCATCAGTTAACATGCACTGTTACACATAGCCCCTCTCCCACTGCTACATCTGTATCAGAGGCAGCAGCACAGGAGGGAGAGGCCTGGCTTTTAAGCCAGTTGCCTGCATGCACTGATTTCTGGGGAGCCACCTGCCTTCCTCTCCCCCCATGTAACCACTGACATTTTCAGCAGATACACAATTACATAATAAAATGCATTTTAACATCACTACATCAAACCCCAATTTTTTCCATAAAGGTTTTCAAAATAGACTTCTGCAAGATCCTCACTCCAGTTTAAAGTCAGAATGATGCCTATTTTTGTTTCTAACATGTGGCTGAATTGCTTTGCCTGTGTTTGTACTAGATAGTAATAAACTCCTTGTAGAAGAACTACCACTTCCCTACATCTGAACACAGAAAGCATATAACTGGAGTGTTTTCCCATAATGATGCTACGTTTGCTAAAAAACAATAGTTTAACTTAATATGAATGTAATCAACTCGGGTGCCCAACAGGGTAAATCTGAGAATTGCAACCTTCTTTTCATGTCATCTAGCTTCTCAAGTGGTACCAGTGGCATATCCTTCTCATCTTTATTCTCGAATGATTGAAGGGTGATCAAGTGACAGTCAAAATTATCCATCAAGCCCTGGAAAAAAATTATAATTAATATATTTCACTGCTAATTATTTTTATTTGGGACTATGAAATTCACTCCCATATTACAGTGTGAGCTACTAAGAAAAAACATTTACCAGACAATCTCACTTCAGCTTTTATTCAGTGCAGTATAACTGTATGTCCTACACTAACCCAATATGAGCGTATTTACTATATAAAAAAAATAGAGGCAACAGTGCATTATTTCAATCATGCCAGTGTTTACTTTTAATGACACCCTCTCCAAATATTGTATTGCAATATTACTTCTTTTCAAAATATGGAGCTCTTCTCTGCCCCACATTAGGTGATTGACAACAATACCTTATAAATAAATATCTTTAGTTTTAATCGCCTGATACTGTAAACTCACTATTTCAAGAAACATTTATCCCACTGAAAATATATTAACCCTTTGATAGCAGAATTTGAATTGTTTGCTGCATGCCTCATGGGAACATATCGCAGGTGCCAGCTGCAAAAAAACTCAAACAAAACTTACTTACAAAGCACCCACACAGAAAACGTCAGAGTACTGCACAACATTCCCTTATGAATATCAGTGATCAAAATTTGGAATGCAACAATAAATATGTTCTAATATAAACTACTATTAAATACTGATGCCCCCTGGGAGTTGCAAGTGATGTGCCACAGATGCAGAGCATATTTATAACGAACACAAACCCACTATGTTAGAATTAATCTTTCTAATACGACTAATAAATTTGTTAGCCTTTAAAGTGCCACTGTACTCCTTAGAACATAAGTACGGTCACAGTGGATTAGACCAAAGGTCTGTCTAGCCCAGTATCCTGTCATCCGACAGTGGCCAATGCCAGTTGCCCCAAAGAAAGTGAAAAGAACCGGAAATCATCAAGTGATCCCTCTCCTGTCACCTGTTTCCAGCCCCTGACAAACAGAGGCTAGGGACACCATTCCTACCCATCCTGGCTAATAGCCATGAATGGACTTATCCTCCATGAATTTATCCAGTTCTTTTTTAAACACTGTTCAAGTCCTCATTTTTACAAGATCCTCTGGTGAAGAGTTCTACCGTTTTAATGTGCACTGAATGAAGAAAAACTTCCTCTGTTAATTTAAAACCTGCTACCTATTAATTTCATTTGGTTCTTATGTTATGGGAACAAGTAAATATTCTTAACTATAGTTTCAACTGATTTGCCTGGTACTGACATTAGACTTGCCCATCTGTAATTTTATTTCCTCACTCCACCAAAGCTTTCTCTTACATCTCATCCCCATGAAGTCACAAAATTTTCCTATAAAGCTCTGTATTTAGCTGGTTACCCTGCCATTGTTCACAATCAACAGCTGCTACCACAGACATCTTTAGAAGTGAATATATCCTCCAAAAGAAATCAATCAATCCACTAACCACATTTCCTCCCAAAAACTAACATCACTTCCATAGAAGATCAGGTTTAACTACAACTTTTTTGATTAACAAACCTTAAATAATCTAATTTTTTCTTTGAAGAGGGCCATTGCTTTACAGTGGTCCTGCGAATCAGCTAAATCTTCTGCCAGCAGATGTTCTACCTCTTGGAGCCAAACTTCAATGCTGTCTAGAGGAGGAGGCAGTGCTTGGTCCATCTTTGTTTTCCATTCATTAATCTAAAAGGCAAATACAAGTCAAAGGTAAATGTTTCTTGCCCAATTCTCAGGGATTAGCAAGACTATTAAAAACAAAAAATACTTGTTAACCTAATGTTCTAACTACAGTGAAACTCCAGTGGTCCGGCATTCAATGGTCCGGCACCATCTGGAACCCGGAAGTGCTCCGGTCAACCGGACAATTGGAGCTGCTCTGCCCCCGGCTTCTCCGTTCACCAGCCGCTGACTTGGGGAAGTCTGGGGCAGAGCAGCTGGGGTGCTGCCGGGTTGGTCCCACAGCACCAAGGGGCACATCCCCCCCACTCCACCCAGACCCTTCATAGCCCCCTCTTCCAATAGTCGGGCATATCTAATAATCCAGCACCCTCTGGGTCCTAAAGGTGTGGGATTATTGGAAGTTTACTGTATCTCAGAAAATTTTTGCACTCAGTAGCAAGCTGGCAGCTCCCACAGCAGTGAAATGAAAGTCTTTTGGGTGTGTCCAAGGTCAGATTTTGCCCCCCTCCCTCGCACTCTTCTTGGTGCAAAGGAAATTGAGCTGTTTTGTCAATATATGATGACTAGCAAAGTTGTGTCCCTGGTACATTTACCCAAAGCTAGTGATGTGGTGACAGATCACTTCTATCATGAACAACATGCTCTGTCTGGTCCAAAAGCACCATATAGACACTCGCCACTTATCAAGCAAGGAGATGCGTAGCAGTTTCAAGCCTAGCCATTCCACACCTTAATCCAGGGTTGGTTGACATGACTGAGCTCTTTATAAATTACTATCCAATGGGATTGACCATACTGCCATGGCAGAGTCAGTAATGCAGGAAAGCCATCCATGCCATGGAAAAAATATCTAGTCTGCAAGGGTACGTGTACACTACCCCGCTAGTTCGAACTAGCAGGGGTAATGTAGTCATCCGCAATTGCAAATGAAGCCTGGGATTTGAATTTCCCGGGCTTCATTTGCATGAAGCCGGCCGGCGCCATTTTTTAAATCTGTGTACAGATGTGATCTCCTCACCCCAGAAAAGATATTTTGGCCTTGAAAAGGGTTCCGAAAAGGGCAACTAAAATGATTAGGGGTTTGGAACAGGTCCTATATGAAAAGAGGTAAAGCGACTGGGACTTTTCAGTCTGGAAAAGAGGAGACTGAGGGTATGTCTACACTACCCCCCTAGTTCGAACTAGGGGGGTAGTGTAGACATACCCTCAGTCTCCTCTTTTCCAGACTGAAAAGTCCCAGTCGCTTTAGCCTCTCTTCATATGGAATCTGTTCCATATGAATGCTGACAAGCTCAGAGGACAATCAGATCCACACCATGCTTTGCACATGTAACCCACACACTTGTCCCACACAGTGGCACTTACACCACTTACAGACAGACAGAATCAGTTTCCTTTGTGGCCTTAGCAGAGAGTCATTTGGGTTTTAACTCATGTGGTCGAGGCTCATGCACTAAGCTCCAAAGGTCCCAGATTTGGTGCCACCTGTTGGCCTTCCACATGCCTCTGGCAACCCTAAGGTAAAAACAGACAGCAGCTGGAAAATACTTCCTTTACCTGGGAGGTTAGGTTATCCCATGCCACTCTCATCCGTTTCCGATCTTCATTTAGCTCCGGCACACTTCTGTTTGAAGACAACACTGGCAGAAAGGGTCTCTTCTCTTCATTGAACGATGCTATAAATGATCGCATTTCCTAGGGTTACAATGGGAACGCAATCAATAATGGGAAACCACCACATGCTGTAGTTCCCAGAACCAGATATTACTGTTGAAGGTGAATTCCGTGCTCCAGTTTACTTCAGTGGCTGTTCCGCATAAGGAATGATGGAATGATAAAACCACTGAGAGCAATGAGAATTGGGCACAATCATGTACGGACAACAAAGGCACCTACTTCCGCCCTTGCCAGGGGGTGCTTGACACTCCACTCAACCCATTTTCCTAACCCTCGCCCCTGCCCTTCTTCTTCCTGCCCTGTCTCTTGCTCCAAGCCTCTGCCCCGCCTTTTCTTCCCTGACTGTGCTGCATTCTCACACCTTGCCCTCCCTCCCAGAGGCCTGAATGCTGTGAAACTGCTGTCTCATGGTGGCAGAAGATGCTGGGTGTGAAGGGGAGGAGCCGCCAGCAGGAAAAAGGTGTTGGGGGAAGAGAGGGTAGGAGCTTAGCTGCTGGGGGTTGCTGAGCACCTGCTAATTTTTCCCCCAGGACTGGAACACCCACAGAGTCGGCACCTATATAAGCCAGTATTGGGGCCTTACAATGTAGGTAATCACAGTGTAGCTGAATCTTTAATAGCATGTTAATACATTATGCCCAAGCAAATACACAGAAATCTCGCTAGATTTTTCTATGGATAATAACTATTCAACTGTATTGAAAAAAGTTGATTGTCAGACTAAGCATAGTCAACAGGGGGAACTGCGAAGGAGAGAAGGGTATTGCACGTTAGATACCAGGCCTACATGTGTCACACAGATGTAGCCCAACTGGAAGGAAACATTTTAACATCATTTACTTTAGTGTTTTGACTGTCAATTCATAGACTGCCAAGAAGAACACCAGACCAGCTGCAAAACATACAATAAGTCCAACCTGGCTGTCTCTGCGTGCCTCGGTTTTTAGTCAGACTTTGTATGGGTTCATGTTCTTCCATGGATACATTGTGATCAGGGGAGTCAAACAGCCTCCATCGGTCCTGGGCAAAGGAGGGGCAGCTCTGTGCCCCCAGAAGGGGCAGGGCTTTGTGCAGATTGTGGAGAGGGGAGGACAGAGCAGCCAGCCCTCCACATTTTCCCACTGCCCTCGGTGCCACATAGAGCGCACTGCCTGGTGCTGTGGCGGCAACTGAAAGGGTCTGGCGCACTGGCCACTGTCACTGCCACAATTGTGGTGACCGGGAGCCCTGGGGCCCTTTGAATTACCAGCCCCAGGGCAAGAGCCCGTTTTGCCAGCCTATGTTGGCAGGCCTGATTGTGATTATCGCCCTGTTAGCGTAGGGGGCCCTGGACTCAGCAGAACCACAGGCAAGGGAGAGAACTGCATAGAGACGGCAAATTCCAAATTCTTCCAGAAGTACAGCTCCATGGGGTCCCCCCCAATGAACAACAGAGGATGGGTCTGGGGGCAGGCTAGGGCCAGCGCAGTCGGGCCACTCTTCCCCTGTACAAATGGAGGAACCTGTTCCCCAAAGGCATAAGTAGCAGTCAACATTTCCAGAACCCCTTTAGTGACAGCCTACTGTGAGGGTACGTCTACACTAGCTCGTTAGTTCGAGCTAGGTAGGGAAATGAGGGCAAGCGGAGTTGCAAATGAGGCCCGGGATTTAAATATCCCGGGCTTCATTTGCATGTTCCCGGGCGCTGCTATTTTTAAATCCCCCTTAGTCTGAACTCCGTGCCCGCGGCTACCCGCGGCACAGAGTAGGTAGTTCGAATTAAAGATCCTAATGGATCGTGGAATGAGGAGTAACGGTAGTTCGAATTAAGATCTTTAATTCGAACTACCTACTCCGTGCCACGTCTAGCCACAGGCACGGAGTTCGGACTAAGGGGGATTTAAAAATGGCGGAGCCTAGGAACATGCAAACGAAGCCCAGGATATTTAAATCCCGGGCTTCATTTGCAACTCCGCTTGCCCTCATTACCCTACCTAGCTTGAACTAATGAGCTAGTGTAGACGTACCCTGAGACACAATATTAACACCACAGTAACTGAGAAGTCTATATTTATATTCCTTCTAGAGAGGGATTTAATCTTAACCCTTTCTCAGTGACTTAGGTTTATTTACCAAACCCAGTGGCAAATCTGTGATTTTTTTTTCCTAAATGTAAATCAGACTGCACAACACAATGAAAAGCAACTTTGGGAGGGGCTTATTTTAATATTTCTCTTTGCAAATACTATAATGTTCAAAAATGTCAGTTAAATGCTACTTACTTGAAACTTTCTGTAATATGTTTCATTTTCTGTATCGACTGACAACTTTGATAACTTTTTCTCTGTTAGACTTAGCCAGCTCAAAGCCTCTTTTACTTTCCCCTGGTAAATGAAGCAGAAAAATCCATTTTTGCATTCTGCAAGTCTTATTTTTAGTTTCCATTGTGCCATAAAACAACATACTAGTGAAGCCTTCCCGCTCACTAACAAGTCTGTTCCAAAGTCCATTGAAATCAATGAAAAGACTCCCACTACCATAATGAGCTTTGGATCAGGTCCTATTAATAGATGAAAGCCAAAATCTTCAAACTTAATGCCAGAAGTTAGATTCCTGAATCCAGTAAGGCAACTTGAATTTCAGGATGTTACATGAACATTTTATCATATGTAAAATGTTGGTTAATAGATAAAGGTGCCAGTAGATGGCATTCAAGAATATATAGCATACATCTTGGATTTTATAGAATTCCTGCTTTGCCCTGCAAATGACTGTCTCTGGCTTCTTTTTCCACCAGCTTCTAACAAGAAGGATTTGGGGTTGCTTCTCACTTCTGAAAATCAGTCTACTCCTAACTATGATTTTAGGAATTTGAGTGGAGGCAGCTTAGTCTGAAAACATTGGCTGGAATACTTATTACGGTGTTGTTTACAATAAGATAGGGTCATACAAGGTTAAAATAAGCTCAGTTATGTCACTGTAAACAAGATGATCCCATGTTTTATTACTATGTTACTGGATCATGCTTCAGGCTTTGCAAAGGTGGTGTTGAAATACTCAGGGCTACGAAAAGCAAAAACTATAGTCATTTGGGCTTGGTTCAGTGACAAAAGAAATGACATACATACCTGCATGTCTTCCTCAGCCACGGGTAAACTTCTGGAATATTGCAGAAACTGAGCCACATAAGTCATGATAGATTTTTCATCCGGATTGATAACATCGACATCTGTGAGTAATAGCACACTATTAGCTCATTCCTGCATATTTATCAGTTTGATCATACACTTCATACTACAGAGCAAACATGAAAATTTACCAAATACAAATGCATTTGTTTTCAGCATTTCAGTTATAATTTCACTGACAAAAAAAAGAGTATTAAATGGATTTCCCTCCCTCCCTCGGATTACTGTAACACAAAACAGCAAATTAAAAAAAAAAAAAGAACTTGGCAACTTTATTTTCTTTCTTCTAAAGGGTGTTCCTGTAATTACTGCCAAGTTAAAACTCTTAATAGTTCAGGTTCCCTTTGAATTATTCAGCAAAGAACCTCAGGTGAGAGCATTCTTACTTCTATCAGTATTTCATTGTAACTTCCAATCACCACAATGATTAAACACTAACAATTCTATTTGGGTATATGTACACTGCAAAAGAAACCCCAGATCAACTGACTTGGGCTCATGCTACAGGGCTAAAATAGCAGTCCACTTGGCCTGGAGCCAAGGATCTGAGACCCATTCCTCTCTCAAGCCCTTAGCCTGAGTGGGAATGTCTACACTGCTAGCTTTAGCCCCAGAGCATGAGCCCTGAGCCTATGTCAGTTGACTGAAGCTGTGGAACTCATTGCCACATGATTTTTTCACAGTGTAAATGTACCCTTTGTTATAAATGGACACTGATTTGGGCGCATCAGCATCAGACTTTATACCAAGTGTATCCAAAATAGATCATTTACCTTCAGGTTCAAGAAGTCTTGGAATATTTAATTCATGTTCTGCAATTTTAAAAGCCTCCTTCAAATTTTCTTTGTTGGCTCTACCCTTTGCTCTGTCCATGTCAACTAAATCTGGTCTTAAGGCATGGATGATAGCTAAAAAAGCCAGTCCATTTCTCCAGCTTGATTTGAAATCTGTCACATTGATAGATCCATGCCTGCCCAAAATCATAGAGAATACAATGTCATGCTCTGTTTCCTCAAAATATTTAATGTTAGTTTGTCAATATAATATAAACACCATGTCAGATGGGCCTGATCCACACCTCATGTGAGTTACTAGGAATCTTTCCAATTAATTCTGTGCAAGTTGATTCAGCCCCCTTATGCATAGTCATTATAATCCGTCCAACAAATTTAAAACCTGAAATAGTTTTTAATGATTAGTATCATGCTGCTTTCACTTCTTGTTGTATACTGCAATGTCATTTTGATTACTATATTTTCTTTTTTATTCATTACATTTAAAACATCTATCAATGCCTTTTACAGCACCAAAAAACAACAATTAAAAATTAAGTTTATCAGCGTACAATCCAGATATTTCTCTACAAGCCAATGGGAATTGGACATTTTACTACCTGAGGCCATTTTGAAAATCTCAGATGCAATTTGATTATACTACTTTTGGATTTTTTTTTTCCAAATGTTCAACTGAATTAGGACTAGAGAAATGAAAAAAGTATTTAGAGAGGGATCCAGCAATTTCTACAATGCACCTGTTGTCTAGATGATATGGTAATACACACAAAAGATGCATGAGTCATAATGAGTATTAAGAAAAAAAAACTAAAAATTGGTTTGTGTACAGTGGCTATAATGGTATGTGAACTGGGGTTAATGTAGGGTATCAGTGATTTTGCATGATTAAATCCACTGATTTAAAAACCATAGTTAGTTTCATATATATGTTATAGCAATCACTGATATGTTAAACCCACTCTAATTGCAATCAGATTATATCTTTGCTGAATAAAGTCAGGCAAAAGAGATTAGGAAAGAGAGATCTTGCATTTACGTGCAAACCCCAGAGCATCAATAAAGCAAAGGAAACATATAGAAAATACAAAAATCAACTTCTGCCAAGTGCTGCGCATACATCCAGCAGAAAGCACCCACTTTGCTGAAATATACTCTAACCTCCCACTAATAGGAATGGGACATTAGCGAGATGACGTTAGAAGAGAAGGTAATCTGGAGAGCTAGAAAGGACAGAGGTGTTAGTAATATATTTGCTTAAGGCAGTGTTTTTTCAAGGAAATTCAAATGTAAAGCCATGATTATGTAAAAACAAATGCACATGATTAAGCACTCTCATTTAAGTCAATAGAATGACTTGCAGCATGTAAAGTTAAGCAGGTGTATAAATCTCTGCTGGAGCAGAGCCTGAGCCTTCTTAACACTATAAGAAGTCCTTAGCTCATGAGGCACCTTCTTGTGCCTTGTGCAGTGCTCTGCAAGAAAAAAAAAAAAAAAACACATGAACCGAGTGCTGATTCTTTTCTAGATACTCTGCTTTTATTGTTGTTTGACAAATTCTTGGGCGATTAGTGAGTAACTCTCTTACTAAGAGAGCCAGTAAATACTAATCTAACAAGATTAAAACTTGCAAAGCATGTAAGCATAGCAGTAGGCACATTACACGGAAAAGAGAGAGAGCTGATAAACAAGAAAGCCAAACAAGCCAATTTACTTATCAGTGTTTTATTAGTACAGTTCGCTCCAACTTCTTATATTGAAAAGGATGCATGTCGACATATTTAGGCCTCAAATTTTAAATCCAAGCTTAGTTAGAATTGATGTGAAATGTTAGCTAGACTCTAATATGCTACCTTTTTGTCATATTTAGTAATCAATCACTAAGAAATAAAACTGACAAAACATAGCATCTTCATAGAGTGACACAGTAAAAATGAACATGAGGTACAGTTTATAAGCATTTGCTTACATTGAACATTGCTCTTTTACCCACAACAGGAGGGCCTTCTTTGCAGATATCTTCCACCGTTTTTTAACTCTACCTCTTTTTTTTGCCTGTGGGCTTACAGCTGGAGATAAGTCGACAATACTTGAACAATCAAAAGAGGGCTGATAATAACTAATACCAAGGGTCTGTGCAAGTTCTTCAATCTATCAGAGAGAGGGGGAAAGTTTAACAATGTTTCATGCTGAAGAATAAACACAAAGATCAGATGCAGAGAACCATTAAGAGTTAGAAATCCACTTCCTCTAATAAGATCGTTTTCAGTAGCTTAACTCTGAACTTTAACTGTTGGGCTGAGAGGTGTCAACATCAAGCTGCATTTGTTTGGGGCATTTTAACCAAAACAGCTCAAACTTATAAAACAAAACCCCAGAAAAAAAAACACATTGTTTTGCCCATTCTGTTGATCTTTACATTCAAAAGCTGTGGCATACTGATAGTATAGAGCAGGAGTTTGAAATTGAGCAGGGCTTTGTGTCCAGGAGGTGCCCTGTTCCATCCACATGAAATTTCACCATTTAGACATTCACCCAAACATCTTTTGAAAAAAAAAAAATCATAGTATACACTTGCTCAGAAGACACTTTCGAGAGTATCCTAGCTTAATTCCCTGCAGATTCTGTCTGCAGTGAGCATGTTCCAGTCAGGGGTTGAGATGAACCTTCCCCGTAATTGCAGCTCTGATGCAGACAACAGGTAGGCCATTTCGACTATGTGTATTTCTGCAGGCAAATATCTAGCCCATTATTTTAAACCAGTTATGTAAAAAATATTGACATGCACATCACACTGCTGTCCATCACATTCTGGGTCAGCGAACGGGGATTCTAGTTCCTAATTCAGAGAAGCAGCCACAATGTACAATTAGAACATGTAAGTTCTGCTTTTCTCTGAGCCAGCACTCCAGGCATGCAGAATAATAAACTTTTTGGTCTGTATTTATGCATAATTCATCTCATTTTGTGACTATTTCATCCCACAATTTTTTCCACTGTTCTACTAAAAACACTCTCACATCACTGCAATACTTACATGAAAATGTAATATAATTGTCCAAATTAGGCCAAGCACAATGGAAGGTTTTCCTTCAATAACGTCAGCAACATGAATATTTATCAGCTTGATCTGGAAAAAGAGCATCGTTATTAAACAACAAACATGCTCCACAAGCTAAACTGGTGTGAAGAGTAAATTCTGAAGTCAAACTTCAATACTCACTGATTTGTTTTTTAAAAATGTCAAGGCATTTTCTATATTGCTTCTGCACTGGAAGGTGTTACATCCTTTCTCCCGTGGCTACAAAGTAAAAAGAAAATATTGCACAATCGGCTGTGATAATCTGTTTTATTTTAAATTGCAGGATTGGGACCTTTATTGGTGAACAAAGACTGGTGTCTCTTATTGCATCCATTGACACAGTGGTAAAATATTCATTGACTTAAATGATGCAGTATCAAGGCCCTTGTGAGTAGTCCTTATACACAGGAAGCCTCCTTTTTAGCACAGTACAGCTCAAGTGCAGTGCCCATAAACTCTTGAGTTCTTACAGCAGAGAGTTCTTAATGAGAGAGTCTGCAAGCCATGAGACGGTTGTTCCTGGCAGCGGAAGATGGACTCACACACTGAATCCAGAGGAACTTCTCACATGCTCATAGTTAAGCACATCCATACATCTTTACAGGATTTGGGCCACAGACATGTTTTCATTACTTTTATTTCATTACTTTTATTTTATCTTACCAGTTGTTGACCTGAAAGTACTTCCAGCAGGTCCAAGAGCACACGACCTTCTTTGATGTCTGCATATAGATCTGAGATAGTGGAAGGAGGAGTGTGCTGCAAAAGAGGCACATTTAGAGGCAAGTTACATACTGGATTCTAAAATCATTATCTAGCAAAATATCATTAATTGTTTTGCTTCTCTTCATAAAAAGAAATTACATTTGCCCTTCTTGTTTGCTCCACTTAACATTTTTCTGTTTATTTCAATAAAACAGCGGTTCCCAATCTGTGGTCTGTGGACCCCTGGGGGTCCACAAAGGTACTGTAGAGGATCTGCAAAAAAATTAGGTAAGGAAAGGAAAAGAAAAGCAAGGATCCGGCCCACTGAAGGACTGGGACTTTCCACCAGGCAATTATTGACTGGGGCTCACCATTCGTGACCGGCCACATGCCCGCTGCCTCCCGCCCTTAGAATGGGATCTTGATACCCTAAGAGACACCAACTGTCCTCCTGCCACCAGCTGTACTGCCATTTACGATTCAGCCCTCTCTCCAACTTCTAGTCCCACAATGGGCCCGATCCTTAATTTTCTTTTCCATTTCTTCCCCAGAGCTCTATGCTCAGCCAAGGGTGGAGTGCCAGGGCAAGAGCTGCCTTTGGCTACAAGAGCCCCCTCACCATATCCTCCATGAATAGGCAGGGATGGAAAGGGAAGGAGCTGAGAAAGCAGCTCCCCTTGTGGGGGTCTGTAAAATTTTAACACATTGAAAAGGGGTCGTCTATATGCTCGAAAAGGTTGGGAACCACTGCTAAAACAATACAGAAAATGGATTATTATTTTTTTAAGCCAAGAGCCCCAGCTAAAGAAAGCATCCTTGTTTAGGAAAGCACTTAAGTGTGCACTTAACTTTAAGAAAAGCCAATTAAATTTAACCACATGCTTAAACACTTTCCTGAATAAGGATGGGATTTAAGTACCTGCTAAAGCGCTTTCCTGTACTGGGGCCACAATGGTCATGTTCCTAGTGGTCCTGTAAAGGAGGCTAAGAAGAAGAGGGTGACTCAATTCTGATGCAAAGTTTCCAGTAACTAACTTAAAAAAATATGAAGGTCAAAAAAAGCAGCTAATTAATGTTCTTGCTTTTCACCAATGAAACCTAAGGCTTTTGACTCTGGAGATATGTAAAAATGACCTTAATGTTGCTTGGTATTTACACACTTCTCAAAACCTTGTTGTGGGTGCTCACTTCTGCTCAGGAAAGAACCAGCGTTCAAACAGCCGGCATGCCATAGGTCAAGACCAAAGTGCATTAACAGAGCAGATTTGTGGGCAGAGTACCTCCTCTGTAGCTATTTTTGTTAATCTTTTATTTTTACTGAATTAAAACAACATTTTAAATGTATTCCAATGTAACACAAATATACAACAATAAAATAATAATCAAACAGCCATTGACACTGTCTATAGAGCGACAATAATAAAAAAAATAAAAACACCACAGAACAACATAACCGGTCTCTGACATGTGCATGTTATTCAACAAAAACAGAGCATTCCAGCTAATTTTCCCTCTTGAACCGTGAATATTTAAATTAGTTTGCTTTGTTCATTCTTTTACATTTTGCTCTCCAACACAAAGTTCTAAATATATTCAAACAGCAAAAACAACTTTGTATAACATTAATTAAGGCCACTCTCTTCAGTAAATAAGTCATAAAAAGTTAGGAAATGCAAAGTGAAGGATTAAAAGTTTGCAGCCAAGTATTCTCAGATTAGGAAATGCCAGAATGAACATTGCTCATGCAATCTTAATTCAGCCCCCATTTGCATATGTACTATGATATGATCTTTAATTACCTGAATTTTTTTTTACATACACAAAACCCTGTTTCTTTCAGTGCACAAGATAGATTGGCTCTGGGGATAAATTAGGTTATGAAACGAAGGAGCCTGTTTATAGAACCCCTACCTCATTTGCTGGAGAAGCGGATAAGTGTGTAATGAATGAGCCAGATCTGACAGGAAGACAAAGGAGTGCCTTGTGGTCAAGACAGTTCAATACCTACCAGAAGATTCAGATTCTATCCCTATCTCTGCAACAGTGTTCCTATGTGATCCTTGGAAAGCCATTTACTCCAACCTATTCACCAACTCACTTTTGCATGTAACTAAAGACTATATCACAAATCATACCCATTGGGGCACTGAATTAACATTCCTTGGGTAACATTTATTTCGGCATTTCCTAATGCGATAATACTTAAACTTGCAATTTTTAATTCTTTTATATTCTTAACTTTGCACATCCTAATATTTTATGGTTTGTTTACTGAGGCAGGCAATCTTTAAAATGTTAACTTTTTTGCTTTTAATGTCTTTGGTTTTTTTAATAGAAAATATTTTACATATGTGCAATGTAAGTAATAGAGCATGTCCACTTTTTTGTTTTCAATATATATTTTAATTGCCACTGTTATCTTTGTGAGGAGAAACATTTCACCATGCAATGTCTTGTCGACAAATATATTCGAAGTAAGTTAATTTGTATTCCTATGACGCCCTTGAAAAGCCATAACCCCCAGTTTGTAAGAAGCACAGAAAAGAGGCTGTCATTTTGTAGCTTTGTATTCATGTAACCCTTTTTAAAGAAAGTAACAAACAATCAACCTTGAAAAGAAACAGTACAAACTCAAACAGCACAGCAGGAGCTTATCCAAACTCAGTAGGCTTTCATTACAATTACTCCTTTGATTTACAGTTGTCTGAGGTAAACTGGTTATCAAAGGCAGCCAGTGCCATGACAACAAGGTGTGGTGATGTGTTGGTCCCAGGATATTAGACAGACAATGTGGGTGAGGTAAAAGATTTTATTGGACCAACTGCTGTTCAAAGAGACTCTATCATCAGAAGTTGGCCCAGTAAAAGCTATTACCTCATCCATCTTGCCTCTCTAATAAGGGGGTAAGAGAGGCTTTCTCGAAGTGTGCAAATGAACTGGGGGAGAGTGAGTAACGAATGGTACTGTGGGGTTCTACTCACCAGATACAATTAGCTCTATCGAGCCTTCCAGCACACCCTCTGCTAGCGGTGCGTCACCGTTGTCACTTCTATACTGCTCCCTGTCCCAATCTGCGTTGGTCCTGATCCTCAGGGTGTGCCTTGGGGGCACAGCCCTCAGACTGAGCCCCAACACTATTTTCCCTCCTCTGTCTTGTCACTTACCTCACAGGCCCACCACAGTCCTCAGCCTAGCTTCTCGCACCAGAGGCAAATTGCAGTCTATCCTGGCCACCTCCATCAATAGCACGTGTAGGGGGAGAAGGTGAGGTGGGGGGAGTCAAGCCCCACCCACTATCCTGGGTCCCAATTCAGGGATCCATTAGTGCAGGCCTGTGCAAAATACGGCCCGCAGGCCATATCTAGCCCACCAAGCCAGCAGATCAGGCTCACAGATGCTGTGGGGAGCCCCAGGAAGGTTCCCTGCTTGCCTCGCCCCTCCTGCATGCTGCTCAGAAATATGGCTACGGGGCAGTTTCACTTTAAAAACTGAGCCCAGAGGGGAGGTGGGAAAGCTTTAAGAGCTGATCTCAACCCCAACACACTCCCATTAGCTGGCTTCTGGCCAGAAAATGGTCAACGGGAGCTGCCTGTTTCAATAACAGGCAGCCATGAAGCACAAAGGGCTCATAGTTATTCACAGAGAACATGGCTGCAGCCTGTGCGGGGGGCGGGGCAGGGCAGGTAGGGAGGCTGATTCAGGAACGGGCTGCTGGTTGGTAAGTCTTCTGACCAGAGGCTGCCTCTGTCACCCCAGCCCCTCCTTTCCCCAACCTACTCCACATACCCAAATCCTCTGCCCTCCCGCAACCCCACACACCCATATCCCCTCCCAGATCTGGCACCCCAATTCCCTACCCCAGATCACATTCCCCTCCTGCCCTAGCTCACAACCCAAACCCCTGCACGCCCTTCTGTACCTCAAAATTCCATTCTCTAGGGTCACAATCCAAACCCCCTGCACTCTAGTCTCTTTCCCCAACCTTCTTTCTGCACTTCAAGTCCATCCCAGACCCCCGCCCCTCCTCCATTAATATCATGGAAGAGTGAGACCTTCAACCACTTTCCAAATCCTTGGAGCAGCCCCCCCCCGTCAAAAATTATTACCCACCTCTGTTTCCTCCAATACTAACATTGCCTGCTTCCCTGGGCCACTTTCTCACAGCCTCAGCACCACTGGCTCCTGCCCCAAGCTCTCTCCTCCCAGGGCCCTGAGCCTGTCAGACGTAGCCAGGCCATCCCTAGTACTGGTTGTGCAGCCCCCTAGGAAACCAGCCTTCCCCCTCAGACTCCTCATCCCTGGTCTGTGGCTGCTCCTTTATGAGGATCAGCTGTGCCCCTAATTACCTTTCAGCCCCACCTGTAGCTGCCTACCACTCAGCCTCACTACACTGGTTTTAACCCTTTTGGGGCCAGTACAGGGCAGACACCCTGTCACAAATGGTTATGTCTGATGTCACAATGTTGCAGCTCATGTGACAGAAGAGGGAATCAAGTATACAGTGTGTGTATGGGGGAAGGGGAGGTGAATCAAGCTTTTTCATTGTTCCAGTTTCCCCAAATGTCCTAAATAAACAACAATATATCAACATAATGGAGATCCTTTCTCCTCACACATAATACTTCAAGAGCGAAATTTGCTACAAATTTCCCAGGGTATGTTAAGAAAAAGGGGGGGGGGGGTGGAAAAAGGTGAAAGCCTGAGATACAGAATCTGTAAAGCATAAGTTCCTGGTGAAACCCTAGCTTTAGGTTCATTATTGCAAATAATTTTTTTTAAAACTCCTTCCATAGATCATTTTCGTACCTTTGCCAATTGTGAATTTATCCAGCTAGTGAAGGTT